GTGATGTGAAATTGAGGTTCAAAGTTTGGCATATAAATAGAGCATTCAATTGAAGATACTAGGGAAACAGGCCAAAGAGAACAAAGGAATTGATTTGACAAGTATCAAACATTATTATTAAATAATGAAACATAATTGAGGGGGTAGGATTTATTCATTGTGTTAAGTTTCGACATGTAGCCATTTGTTGTGTAGTTTGTTGTTACAAATCATATGAACTTCATTGCACATAATTGGAGTCAGAATCAGAAGCACTCATAAAATTATAAAATTGAGAATCCAAAACACGACGGAACGTTTTTGATTGAAAATTTTATCCAATATAAATTAGAAAACGCATGACTTTTTTTCTATATATCTTTCATAAGAAACCAAAAAATAAAAATCGTAACTTGTTTTTGTTGGTTGGCGAGAAACAAAACAAAATGTAGTTTACGTACGAGTGAATTTTTTCTTTTTGATTCGTTTGAAGAGCCTGTGAAAAACGCAGAATCGAATATAAATCTTCTACAATATTAATGGGAGAACTAGTGTGACAAATAAATATCAAGATGTTAAGTTAATGAATTTGTTGAGCAAAAAATGTTAAGTTAATGAACTGCTTAAACTACGAAAAAGTTAAGTTACTTCTTATTAATCTTGAAATCGTTATCATTTCCTAAGTTTCTTGTAAGATGATATAATATACATGTTTTCAAAAAAGATGATATATACATGTATATAGCTTTACATTAATTGTGTATCTTTTCTACGTGACTCCCTTGTTTTTCTATAAAGATGATCCTCAGAAACTCTAGTTCTTGTTGGATGGTTGCTTTAAAAAGTATTTTTTCTTTGAGATTAGGAGTCAAACTTCTCTTCGTCTTTTCAAAAAAAAAATATATATATATCTTCGTCAATAGATCACTAACCAGTTTTGGCTCCTTACGGCTTACGCAAACTTTCTCACCGCTTTTTCATTGAATTTGTTTACCTCTCTAATCTTGTTTTGCAAGTTGATTTAAGAATAAAATTATAATGTGTACTAACTATAGTTATTTATCCATATATCAACTAGAACTGGAAGCCATTAATTGTTTCCAACCGATAGTTCTAAAAAATCAAGTTCTCGCATTATTTTATTGTGTAAATTGTATTTAATTAGAAGAAACAATGATGAACAAAGTTTCTCAGTTTGATAAGTTAATTGGTCCATGTTTCTTGTATATCTAAGATACTGTTTCCAATTATTCAAATATTGATAATTGAGACCACGGCTTTAGCTTTTGTGCATCCATTAATTAAAAAAAATATATTAAGTCAAAAAAAAAATTCTCAA